GTATATACTGTATATACACACATATCTGAACATTGCAAAGATAGAATAACAACAAGTCAAAGTTAAATAGAATTGAAATACTTTTTACATTTTTTTTAAATAAGGAGTAGAAAATACAGATAAATGAATTAAAAAGTAAGGAGTAGAATTAAAACGTAGGCTGAAAAATAATTACTCCACTAAAGTATAAATAACCCAAATTTCTACTTAAGTAAAATATCAAAGTATTTGTACTTAGTTACTTGACACCTCTGCTGGCGCACTACATACAAACATTAGTGCTTGAGTAAATTGTTTCCAATTATTTTAAACTTCAACAGAGTACAAGCTGAGAGTCCAGACCCACGGTACGAAACAAAGCAAAGAACAAGGTTTTTACCAGGTTAACACAATGTGCGTAAAAATACTGTTGTCTTTGCTGGAAAGTGAGGAAACAGAAGCTAAAATACACAAAATTTTGTAAATGGAGAAACTATTGAGATGTGATGGTGAGTTTGAGACTTATTTGTTTTGTTTTGTTTTTTCATTTTGACTTCATTCTCATTTTATTTCCTGTCACCCACGTTCAGTAATCTGTTAATTCTAATCTATCTGCACTAAGGTCCGAATTACTGAGGACTCTGAAGTTTCACAAACAAAAGAAAAAGAAAGAAGGTCAATAAACACCAGTTTTCCCTTTCTGACGGGAACGTGCAGAAAGCCTCAAGACAACACTTCACCTCAAGGTGTCTGAGTGTGTCTGCAGTATGTGTGTGAGCGTGTGTGTGTGTGCGTGTCCGCCTGAATGCTTTGACATTTCATTGAATGGCTGCGGCTTGTTGCCATGACAACGATGACTAAAATGTGCCCACTTGTGTGTCATAGCCGTTTGGCTCTGATTGACTGAGGCTGAAAACAGCATTTTGTTCTATTCAGCCGGTAGACAAAATAATTTTCCTTTTTTTCCCCCCTTTTTTTTTAAATGTGTAATTGAATTTTGAGCAGAGCTGGAGCCGAGCATCACCAGCCCAACCCTCCTCAGGGGTGCTGCCAAGGGGGCAAGAGCCACCCCAAAAGTCTGTTCAGGCTTTTGGTTTTGGCACCCGTGCTTCACATCCTTATTTAGACTTTACAGACATTCATAACAAAAACACTTGACCTGTGTGATGACCTGTAGCTTAAGAAAACTTTAAGCAAATTTTCATGTAGAAAAAATTTAATAAAATCATCTTTGAGTAACGGTTGTATGCAGGGCCAGCCCATGGCATAGGCAGTGTAGGCAAACGCTAAGGGCGCCATCCATCTAAGGGTGCCTCAGATGAGTGTTGGAAAAAATTTGTTAATTTTTTTTTTTATCAAAGTATTGTTGATTCCATCTGTAGAATAATCTCTGGCTACTCAGTTTATGAAGATAACTTGTTCTGTAGGTTTCTCAGCTGCTTTGTCATGGCGTTACACACACATGGACAAAATTGTGGGTACCCCTTGTTTAATGAAAGTAAAACCCACAATGGTTACAAAAATAACTAGAATCTGACAAAAGTAAAAATAAATAAAAATTCTATGAAAATGAGCAAATGAAAGTCAGACATTGCTTTTCAAACATGCTTCAACAGAATTAAAAAATAAAATAAAACTCATAAAACAGGCCTGGACAGAAATGATGGTACCCCTAAAAGTAATGTCACCAAGATGCAGTAAGTACATATACTTTGTTACTGTACTTAAGTAGAAATTTTGGTTTTCTGTACTTTACTTGAGTAATTATTTTTCAGCATACTTTTTACTTTTACTCATTACATTTTCACACAA